CGCGTTTTGGGAGCGGGCCCGGCTCCTTTCCCGAGAGCAGAAGCGCCGCAGGGAGCTGCGGTAAAAGCGGAGCTCGCCGCCGGGAGGCTGTGCTCACCTCTGAATGTCGCTGCTCCCGCTCTTCGGGGGAGCAAGGCTGAATTGGGGGAGGGGGGGAACCCAAACAAGAAGTCAAACAAACAAACAAACCAGCGGCAAATGCGATTTTTTCCGGTGGTTTGCGGCAACGCGAGCATCGAGCCTGGAAAGCTTGTGCCTCGGTGAAATGTTTCGTCGTCGCTGGAAGTAGTGGGGTTGTTCGTCCTGGAGAGAAGGAGGCTGAGGGGACACCTTATCGCTCTCTACGACTCCCTGAAAGGAGCTGGAGAGAGGAGGGGGTCAGGCTTTTCTCCCTAGTAGCAAGCGGCAGGACTGGAGGGAACGGCTGCAAGTTGTGCCGGGGGGTTTAGGCTGGATACTGAGGGGAAGTTTTTCACTGAAAGGGTCACTGGGCACTGGAACAGGCTGGTGGAATTGCCGTCCCTGGGAGTATTTAAACAACGTGTTGGTCTGGTGCTGGGGGACGTGGTTTAGTGGTGACCTGGCGGTGCTGGGTTAACAGCTGGACTTGACAATCTTGAAGGTTTTTGCCAACCAAAGAAATTCTCTGATTCTGCCTTAGCAATTTCTGTTGTAGTTCTTGGAAGCAGCTGTGCTAGTACCTCGTTTTGTAATGCTACTGGCTTGGAGGCAGGGAGTGGGGGTAGAAGAGCCCAAACAAACAAAAAAACCCCGCAGTTCTCTAATTGAGCATGAGAAAACTTGAAGACTGTTCATAAAAATGTCTTAGAGCTGGTTTTTGTTTTGAAGCTTGGCCAGAATCAGTGATGCGATAACAAGGAACAAAACTGAGAGGAGTAATACCTGACAGTAAATAGCAGAAAAGTCAAAAACATATGACTACTGTTAATAATATTTTTTGAAAATCCACGGATTATTGTAGAAACAAAAATTTTATGGCTAAGGAGTCTTAACTGATATGTTATTTTGTATTACTGTAAGCAAATCACCAGTATATGAGATTTTATTAAAACATATATTTTTGTGTGTGTGTATGTATATATATGTATGTGAGGTCTTTTTCTGTATTGTTTCCAAGGTTATTTTCGGCCTTTTGCATGGATGGCTTTGGAGACTGCTCCAAGAATAGGGTAAGAATCTGAGGCTTTTTGGCATACTTATGTGCTTTCATTATATAATAAATCAACTAGATCAGTTATTCAGGGATGATGAAACTGGAAGTGCATTAAGGCCTTTAGTATAAAGGAGCATGTAAACTTGTACATTTGAATGTTTTAGAACGTGTGCTGTTTACAGAAATAAAGAAAATTTTGAACAAAAACTTGTGAATAAAAATATGTAGGAGTAGCCTCCATGGTCTTTCTAGGTGTATGAAATGCCATTCTATTAATTTTTAGTGTCTTGTGCTTTTCAATGATTGGAAGAGAATTCTCAGCAACAAAATTAGAAATAGCCCTTTTCTCTAATGTGTTTGTTTCTGTTCCTCAAATGGTCGTATATGGTCTTAAATTAGAACTTTATTGTATTAAAGTATATTCATTATCAGTTATCATTTTAATCTGACTTCATATTTTATACAAATGTATTACTTTATATTAGTGCAGAACTGTTCCAACAAAGCTTTTTGATGCATTTGATGTCAGTTTGATACTCGCACTTTAATGGATGTCTTGCTCTTTCGATACTTGTTCATCAGTCAGAAATACAATCTCTGTAATTCTCAGCAAAGCATTTGAAGATATAATCCCTGTAATCCTTGCAAAGCAATTTCATGTGTGGTCTATTTTGAGACTGTCCTGGTGATACCAGTAATACATTTCAGTTTTCTAGTCGGTGTTCATTTAATGAGTGATTTAATTGGCTAATTTTGGTATTTATTGTATTGTTATGTTTCATTTAAATTCACAAAGCATTCTTCATATAGTCTTAGTAAATAATAACTTTCTGTAAATAGTATAAGTGAGAAGCTATACAAAGTTGAATAACAACACATTGGAATTTCTGTTCAGGTAAATAGGGAGATGTCTGAAAACACAAGCTTCTGCTAGAAGTCTTGGGCTCATGATGACTGGATGGTGATAGTGTGGCCTAATGGATAAGTAGGGCAGTGGTTGCTAGATATTTTCTTGTTTCGGTTGCCAGAAGGAACGATTGCACTCTTCTATTTGCTTTTTTTTGGTATCAAATACAGGTGGGACGGGCTTTGTGATAAGGTTTTGCCTTGACATACTCAAGAGAATTAGGTAACGTATGTCTAAACGGTGTCCTGGTTTGAGCTATACAGAACCAGTTGTGTTCAGCTCAGTGTCCTCTGAGAGGCTGCGCTTTCTGAAGTTCACAATGTGTTGTTGGAGGCAGTGCCTGCTGCTAGAAGTGATAACACCTGACGTTTACAGTTGCTACCAAGGATTGGCATGCAGAAAGGCTCTTGCTCTTGCTTGTACTGGCTTCTGTAGTGACCAAGGTCACTGCTAAATCTTGTGTAACATGTTGGGAATTCTGGGAAGTAAAAGGAGTCACAAGGAAGTAAAAGGTTGCACCTTTGAGGGGAATGAAGAGGACAGGTGACCAGCAAGAGTATTCTATTCCATATATGTCATTTTCAGTATAAAACTGAGGGACTACAGGGCTTAATCAGACTTTTCATTCTTCTTCAGTGGCCAGCATCTGAGGAGGACTTTGTCTGATCTGTTGCCTTTTGATCTCAAGTATGAGTTCCTAAATCCAGCTCCTGTGTCCAGTTCCCCTCTGCCACTGAGCCTGAGATTTCCCCAGTGCTTGCCTGCGCTTGCAGCATCAGTGGGCGTTGCTGTTGGGGAAGATGGGAGGGAGTCAGGTTCAATATTGGTTTTGTATATATTAGTATATAGTTCATTATTTTTATTATTTCACTATTAGTACTACTATTGTTTTATTAAAGCTGTTTTACTTCTCCGATCTGTAAGTCTCTCTGCCTTATTCCCTTTCCCGTCCCATTTGGGGAGGTAGAGGAGTTAGAGAACATCTGTCGGTGTTCAGTGGCCAGCCCAGCCCTGACCCTCAATAGCATTTCTGTTGTACCAGTTGTTGCCATGTGAAGTTCTGCCTTTTATATGCTTTCAGTGTTAAACTCAAATTTATTTCTAATAATATTTTGGTGACTCAATATAATTTTTGTAAATGCACTTGCAGGAATGAAGTCATCTGAATTCCCTGGTGCACTACTGAGACGAAATGACATTCATGTTTGTGGTGAATGGAAGTCATGGCAGCGTCTAACATGGGAGGCAAAGACATGAGTGGACAATGTGGCGCGACTCGTTCAGATTGCAGATCTTCTGCCTGCTTATGGCGGTACTGGCTGTTGTGGTGCTGGTCCATAATTTTTTTCAGTTAGAGGTAAGTGGAGCCTGTTTCTACTCCAAGAGGGCCAGAGCAACATAGTTACTCTTTGGGTGTAAGACTAGAATTGTTACAGACAACATTTAGCCACATCTTGGAATCACATAAAATATTCAGAGTGGAAGGGGTGTCTGGAGATATTTAATCCAACACTGTCCTCCAAGGGCTAACTTCAAAGTTAGCTTGGATTGCCTAGAGTTGAGTTTTGTCAGTCTTCAAGGATGGTCATATTTTGCAACCTGCCTAGGCAGCCCATTGCAATGCTGCATCCCTCTCACAGAGAAGAATGTGTTGCTTATATGCAGGCAGAAGTTGCTTCTTGTCTTTCAGTGTGTACTTCCGACTCCAGTTTCTCTGTAACTCCTCTTTGAGTAGTGAAAGACTTCAGTTAGATCCACTCTCAGTCCTCTCCACACTCAAAAAAAAATGGTCTCAAAGGTTCTTACCTGGTCTCACTAGGTTGACTCTGGTAGGGAGTGTCCAAAAACCAGACATGGTACTCTAGGTATGGCCTCACCAAGGTCAAGTTGAGAGGGATTATTACTTTTCTCAATCAGATGGTTATGCTCTTGTTAATTCGTTGCCACAACACTATGTTGTTGACACACGGTCAGTTTGCTGTCCACTGGAATCCCTAGGTCTTTTCTCGTAGAGCTGCTGGCTAGCTAGTGGATCTCCAGCCTGCAGGATCTCCTGCAACTTTTCTTTGCCTTTTCCTTTTTCGCTCTGCTGTATCTGACTTGCATATTTCTTCATTTTACTTACCACTCTAGTGCGGAAATACTTTCAAACTGCATTAGTCCGTAAGCCTAGACTAAAGTAAAGAGAGAGAAAATCACTGACGATCTATTCCAGGGAACCTTGGAGACTGACCGTGCCTGTTGGCTGCCTGCCTTGCCAGACTATGCAGTGTGGAATAATAATGCTTTACCTAATACCTTGTTAAATTATAGCTGTCTTTTATGCATGTTAGCTAATCAATAACTGGTTTATGCTTTTAGATTGTGTGTATCTGGCTTGCAAAGTAATTTTTACTTCTGGGTGGTAATGCCCAAATGAAGGGATCCAAAAGAGGGGCTGTAAAACCACCTCTCATGCCGAAAAAATAATTGAATTGAAAGAGGTTCAGATAAGGTCAAGGAAGGTGGCTGAGAGTTCTAAAACCAAAAGTGACACAGGATCAATAACAAAAGAATGAATGTTTGTATTGGAGACGTGAATTAAAACTGTAGATGCTGATTTCAAAGGAAGCAGGGGTGATTTCTGATGGATTGCAGCCAAGCTGCAAAAGTCCTTGCAGTAAGACTGTGTAGCTGCTGAAAGCACGTATTCAAAAAGTCTAGGTGAAGAAAAATACATTAGGGAATACTAAATCTTAAAGATGTCAGCCATTAGTATTTAAGAAATCTCTAAACCATAAAGTGCTAGAAACTGGATTAAGTCTTCGGGGGGAAATATCACAACATTTTTGACCTGTAGTCTTTTCCACATATCTGCTGTTTGAAACTACAGCAAATCGAAATACTGTGTTTGATGGACCTTTGGTGTGAGTCAGCACGATCATTTTTGTGTAACAGAGAAGGTAGCTTTTCTTTTGTTGTTTCTTTCTGTGTGGTGGTTTTTGTTGTTTGTTTTTTTTTCCCCCCCAGGATGTTGTATGGAGAATGGTGTTGATTTTTTTTGAATTTTAGACTGTTTTCTTACTTAAAAAAAAAAAAGTGTTTCTTAGAGAAAAGGGCTCTGGCAGAGCTTTGAGAGTGAAATGAAAAATATTCACTCTCTGCTTTCTCTTGCCATTATTGGTAGGTATCTACATGGCTTTGTTGGCCTTTACATATCTGATACTCCAAATTCAGTTACTGTGTTACCGATAAATCTTTACACCATAACATGCAAATCTAACGCATTTTGTTATCTTGACTTTTCTGAAAGGACCTGCTCTGGTATTTGGCCCTGGTTTTGGCATTGCTCTCCAGGCAGTCTAGTGTAGGTATCTATGCTGATTCTGTTCCGTCAGAGATCAAAGCCAGAAAAAGGTCTTAGAAAGCTTTCACAGAATATCTGTAACCAAATCCATTCAGGCTTAGGAAGGAGGGCTTATTGTTGGTTACTGTTGAAAATGTATTTGTAAATGTATCACACATTCTTCTCATCCCCAAATCGTATAATCTAGCTGGCTAAAGCCGAAGAGCTAAGGCAATTATCAGCTAGCCCCCAGCTAGCTTTCCTGCTTTTTCTCTTTAGGATTTTATATTTTTTCACGTTAGAATCATAGAATGGCCTAGGCTGGAAGGGACCTTAGAGATCATTTTAATCCAGCCTCCCTGCCGCCAGGGACGCCACCTCTTGACTAGAGCAGGCAACACATGGGGACCGAACGGGAATCTTCCCTCTTGAATTCTTAAGCTACTAATGATACCTTTTCAATAGTCCTACCCATGTCAGAATTTTACTTTTCATACCTTGTGAAGGCCAATGGCATCCTGGGGTGTATTAGAAGGGGAGTGGTTAGTAGGTCACGAGAGGTTCTCCTTCCTCTCTACTCTGCACTGGTGAGACCACATCTGGAATATTGCGTCCAGTTCTGGGCCCCTCAGTTTAAGAAGGATAAGGAACTGCTGTAGAGAGTCCAGCATAGAGCAACCAAGATGATTAAGGGAGTGGAGCATCTCCCTTATGAGGAGAGGCTGAAGGAGCTGGGTCTCTTTAGTTTGGAGAAGAGGAGACTGAGGGGTGACCTCATTAATGTTTATAAATATGTCAGGAGTGAGTGTCATGAGGATGGAGCAAGACTCTTCTCGGTGACAACCGATGGTAGGACAAGGGGTAATGGGTTTAAACTGGAACACAAGAGGTTCCACCTAAATTTGAGAAGAAACTTCTTCTCAGTAAGGGTGACAGAACACTGGAACAGGCTGCCCAGGGAGATGGTGGAGTCTCCTTCTCTGGAGACATTCAAAACCCGCCTGGATGCCTTCCTGTGTAACATCGTCTAGATGTTCCTGCTCCGGCAGGGGGATTGGACTAGATGATCTTTCGAGGTCCCTTCCAGTCCCTAACATTCTGTGATTCTGTGTTCAAGAATTAAAAATCAAGCTGTCTCCAAAACATTGATAGCCTGCTTATTGTTTAAATTGCCTTTTTTTTTTTTTTTTTTTTTTTTCCCAAACACAGACAGATGAAATGTTCTTCCAATCTGTAACTCTTGTCTTGGCCTACTACATTCAGAACAATTGCTATAAACCCACATGGCAAAGTATCAGATTATTGCCGAGGAGCAACATCATTCCTTAGGATACAGGACAGTTTATATATTTGTACAAAGTGCCTTTAGAGTGACAAAAGCACTTCAGGGTTAGGTGTGAGCATTCTTTTATTTAAAAGCACTTAGATAAGAGCATAAGAGAGGGGAAGTTTCTTGCAAGGATTCTAGTTCTGATGAACATACAACTTCCTTTTTATGACATCTCTCCTGCACCAGGAACAGCTTGTGGATTTGTTTGTGCTTAATTGACACGTAATCCGTTCTATCCAGCCATTAAAATACTTTGTGGTCACATTTGGTTTCTGATTAATTTAAAATGGAGCAAATAAAATAAAATATAAAACACAAACAAAAAACAACAACAACCCCTCCCACACAAACAAACAAAAAAACCCTCAAACAAATCCAACAAACAAACCCCTCTGGGAACTGCACTCAAAATCAAGACACCTTGAATGGAGTATATGTGAAAGTAAGTGAAGCAGGGCAAGTGTCATTCAGCATGAAGACTGTATTAAAAATAAAAGAATCTGTGTCATAAAGGAGAGGACTGTTGAGAAATTTTGAGAAAAAGTCGTTATCTGCCCTGCTTAAAGAAATTGTGTTTTGTTTTGGCTGCCAACTAGAGTAGAGACCCCACAGTTCAGTATGACTTAACATAAAGGAGCCAGAAAGATTTGGAAATGCCAGTCAAAGAGGGATGCAGACAACAAAATGGAGCGCAGACAGACTTAGCTACTAATCTGCCTCAAGTCAAACTCTTTGCATCCTTAGAGGTAGGAGGGCTTGAGCAGTTGTTTGGAGATGAGCCTGGGAAGCACCTGAGAAGATAGTTTGGAAAGGTTTTCTATTCCAGCCAAGGATCTTTGATATAACTAATTGACTCTGAAGCTTTCCCTGCCTTAGCTGGGAAAGGTGCTCACCACCTCTGAAGGTTGAGGAGATATTTGTGGTATCTCTATTCTGCTTGATGGGTCATAACCTGACGATGCTGGAGATGAAATGACGCTGCTTGTCCAGGAGCTCAGCTGTGTGCAGGTAGAAGAGCTGTGGCCTTGTGCTTTGCTGCAAAGGCTGGACTGCTTTAGCAACACTGAGCTATGGTCTCTGCTCTGTTTTCTCAATGTATGAGCTTGCTGGCTTGGTGTTTTCTGCACCCTTTTCTTCTGAAAGATATGGGTATGCCCTTGGAAAGATTTCAGAAAGGCTAGCTAGGCCATAAATGACATCACCTACAACTAACAAAGTCTAGGTTAAAAACCTTGAATACATTTATGGAAGGTTAAAAATAGGGATAGGTCTATTTTCAAGGCCTTCTTAGATAGCGATCTCTCTTTCTCATTTGAAAGATGTTTTTTTCCATGCCCACCCCACCTACCCCTACCCTAGTCCCCACTCCTGAGGTAGCAACTGTGGAAGAAACAACTGAAATATGGACACTTTCTCTTGTGAGCTTACACTGAACACAAGAATTAATCAAGCACACATATTATCTGTCTCCAGCACTCCTTAGGAATATGCTTAAGTATTTTTGCTGACTGAGACATGGTTACTAGCTTGTTGGATGCATCAAAATATATAGGTAACTTTTAAAAGTATTTCCATGCAGTATTTTCTGTGCTATGTATATGCATGAGAAAGTGGAAAAAAAAAGTTGTGAGGGCATCCAAAATATAAACTTGCCTTAACGCAGGAATGTATGTAGGCAAGATTGAAGGTACAGCTGTGCCCAAGATTCATTCTCCTGTTTGCCTGAAATTTACTAGATTAGTAAAAGTAATGTGCAGTGATATGTTTGCATTTTTGTTTGCTGTGATGGAAAATAGAAATAATTATAGGTTACCTCAGATGGCCTCCAGGTAAAGTTTTTTATATCCTGGGTGGAAATGTAAAACAGAAGCAAAAGCTTCTATTGAGATAATAAAATTTTGTGTGCCTGTGAATAGCTATTGATTTACATTTTCTAGTTAAAATGTAACAATTTACAGTTTCAGGTGTTACAGTTGAAATGGCTGTCAAACAGAGAAGATTCTGTGTATCCATCCTACATCTTAATACGCTCATTATCCTCTTACTCTTAATCTGATCAAAACCAACTTCTTACGTAACAGGCTTCAAAAGCCGGTGTGTTTCTGCTGCTTGTTAGGGTTACCTTTCTTCTAAAAAAATATGTATTGAACCTCTGTTGTTCAGATGACTTTAACATACTGGCAAATTCAAATAAAATATAGCAAGGCAGGAGGGGAAACTACTTACTATGTTAATGTACTCTAGGGGATGTTTCAATGGACTAAGAAAGGTTTACAATGATAAAGAAGGCTTTAATGTAAGTGCTGGGAATTTTAGTACATTACTGAGCAGTTAGTTATGGGCAAAGTAAATGGAAAACAGTAGGCTATTGGTAAGTACAATAATCTTTAAAAAATTCAAACAACATAGTTTTAGTATTTTTAGCAGTCTTGCAAATCTAATCTAGCATATTTTCTGATGCCATGTGAAGGGTACATTGTGGAATTTTAATCTTTCCTTGGAAAATTATTTTGCTTCTCTGTGAAATATGAGTATGGATAAGTTCTACTATATAGACCTGATAATTAAGTACTCATTAACTGCTGATTTTGTGCATATTTGAGGTGTATGTTTGGGTTTACTGATTAGAAATCTCATAGGTAGCCCTGGGGTCTTAGGCTGTGCTTTTTTTTTTAATGTCTCCAATGCAAATGTGCAAAATTTTGTGATTTCATAAAGAAGATGGTATCTCTGCTGTCGTTTGCCTAAAAATACAGTTTTGAACATTGATCTCAAGCCACGGCAGAAGCCCTCTCTCTTAGTCCAGCATTGTACTTACTTTAATTTTTGAACTTGTGTGTGGATGAGGAGGTGCTTTCTTCATGTTTAATTTGGCTCTAGTAGAAGCTGTATATAGTTTTTAAAATCTTAAAAATAAACAGACAAGTAATTTTTTTTTGGCTTATTTAGTCCTAGCTTGTCCTAGACTATTTTACTTGCCCACCAGTTCATGAACTCATTGGCCCTGAAACACTCCTTTCTTTCCTTCCATTCTTTTCAATCTGCACATTACAAGGAAACTCACCTTTCAGATAATTAGATGAGAAGCAATGGGAGTGTGATAAGATGAATGACTGAAGCTGCTACCTGCAGCTGACTTCTCTCGAAGGCAGGTGCAGGGAGTGCATCAGCTTCATTGGCAGCGCAATGGCTCAAAGAAACTCCATTTCCTTGCATTATATTGGGCAGCTGTTAGACCTCGTTGTGCTCAGAGACTACAGTGTTACTACAGTGAGAAGGTTAAACATGAGTTACAATTTACTATTTAACTGTACAGCCTTTTTAAATTTTTTTTTTTCACATTGCTGAGGTTTACAGAATACACTGATCACCAAAATACTGCCACAGGAAATATTTGGCCTGATTTCTGTAGAAGCTGCTTTGCCAGTGCAGGGTATCTACAGGTTGCCCAGCCATTTCTTTAGGGTAATAGATTTATGTCTTTTAGTAAAGGTGCTTTATTTGGTCAGCTTCAAAGCTCTATAAAGCAAAGCCCAGTTCTTGGTATTGTTTCCTGTTGACACAACTGTTATTCATAGTGTTTCATATAATAGCACAGTTTTGGGTAATCTTCTTCCTCTCCAGCACCTGGATGATGACACAGTTTTGGGATCAAATTGGATAACAGAAAATGATGTCCAGCGTGCTCTATCACAAACTATCAAGACTACTGGGAAGCCTTACTGTGGTTATAAGCAACAGACTTTGTCCAAAAGAGAACAAGCAGAACAGGACTCGTTGCTTGCTGCAATACAGTGGCCAAACCCACCCGATGGCAAAATTGCCTTCCTACAAAGCACTGATCCTGCACATAGTGACTTTGTGATTGTGAAACACAGCGGGTTCTTCAAGGTGGGTGACGAGTTAGAGGTACTTGTGCGTATGAAGGATTTCCAAGGAAAACCCAAGCAGTATGGCGGAGACTACCTACAGGCACGAATTCACTCTCCTCTGCTGAAAGCTGGAGCAACAGGAAGGATTGTGGACTGCCATAATGGCCTTTACAAAGTCTTCTTTACCTTGCTTTGGCCAGGAGAGGTCAAAGTTTCTGTGTCACTTGTCCATCCGAGTGAAGCAATCCAAGTCCTCCTGCGTTTACGAGAAGAAAGGCCTGACAGAGTCTATTTCAAAAGCTCATTCAAGTCTGGGAGGTATTCAGAAACTACCGAGTGCAATGTCTGCTTGCGTGGAGATCTCCCAGTCTGTAATTTCACAGATCTGTACACGGGTGAGCCATGGTTCTGTTATAAGCCTCGGAAACTGCCCTGCGCCAGCCGAATCAGCCATGCCAAGGGTGGATATCAGAAAGGTCTTCTGACACAAGAAGAAAGCCTCTTTTTCCAAAGGTATGTATGTTGTTGAATTCATGTATACTTAGTCAAGTAATTTATTTATTTTTTTTAAAGACAAACTTAAGGTTATTGGTGAAATATGACAGATAGTTTTAGAGAAGGTGTATATCTGCAGGAGCAGGTGTTTGATGTGAGATGTTGAATAGTCTCTTCCCCTTCATTCTTCTGTGCAAAACACAGTAATATTAAACTAAAGAAACTTGTAGAGGGTAGTTGTCTCTCTATGCTTTGAATTCAACCTCGGTGCACCTGTTAAAATTTCTCAAGAGCATGGTCTAAATCTGGTGGTGGTGTGGGGGACTGTTTCCTTATTTTTTGTTTCCAAACCTATACTTACGATACCAATATCAATGCTTTGAGCTATATTTTTGGCCAAGTCTGAACCGCCTAAATGTCCTGATTTCAGCTGGTATAGACTTAATTTCTTTCCTTGTAACTGATGTACTGCTGTGGTTTGGATTTAGGATGAGAGTAATTTTGATATGAGCTACGAGGATGATCAAGGGACTTGAATATCTGTCATACGAAGAAAGACTGAGAACTGGGGCTGTTTAGTCTTGAAAAGAGAAGGCTGAGAGGGAACCTTATTAATATATACAAGTATATGAGAGGTGGATGTCAAGAGGGAGGTGCCAGTCTCTTCACAGTGGTGCCCAGTAATAGGACAAGGAATAATGGGTATGAGTTAGAACACAGGAAGTTCCACCTCAATATTAGGAGAAACTTCTTTACTGTGAGGGTGACAGAGCACTGGCACAGGCTGCCCAGAGAGGTTGTGGAGTCTCCTTCTCTGGAGACTTTCAAAACCCTCCTGGACACGTTCCTGTGTGGCTGCCCCAGGGAATCCTGCTCTGGCAGGGGGCTGGACTAGATGATCTCTAGAGGTCCCTTCCAACCCCGAACATTCTGTGATTCTATGATAACACACTGTTGCAGTTGTGCCTAAGCCGCATTTGCACTAAGTCAAGGCCTTTTGTGCTTCTCACTCCACCAGAGGCTAGGGGTGCACAGGGTGCTGGGAGGGGACACAGCTGGGACTGCTGACCCCAGCTGACCAAAGGGACATCCCACGCCATATGACATCATATTCATTGTATAAATTAAGGGTAAGGCTGGCCAGGGACTGCTACTTGGGAACTGGCTGAGCTTTGGTTGATGGGTGGTGAGCAATTGCATTGTATATCACTTATTTTGTATATTCTAATTCTTTTATATTTTCTTCCCCTTCTTTTCTGTCGTATTAAACTGCCTTTATCTCAACCCATGAATTTTACTTTTTTTTTAAAAAACATCTGATAGAACAAGCTGCTTAGCAATACCTACACAAGGGGAAATGATTTGTGCATGTTATATAAAGTATCAAACTCAATCAGTTTCATGGTCCGTTTTTTTCTTATGGATTCAGCATTAAAAAAAAATAATCTCTTGGTGCACAGGTCGAAGTGACAGAAATGCTTCTGTATATACCCTCAGCTGAAATTAGACAAAGTTAGCTGCTGTGTGTTGTCAGAACAGCAGCTGTAGGCTGCTGCCTTGCTCTCCAAAATATATGTTGAAGGACAATGTTTCAGCAGTATGTCCATTTGAAGCTTCAACTATGAAAGACTTTAGGGTAGTGACTCCAAGTAGCTTAATTAGGAAAGCGGATGGACATGTTTGCAACTAGAGACCAGAAGTCAAAAAGTAATGTCAGTGGAGTTGTTTTTTGGCTATTCCTTATCAAGTTTGGAAGTTGGTCTTTTGACTTTCTGTGCCTCAGGCAGTTCAGTTATAAAATATGGCTTATATTAATTGCTGATGTTTCCAAATGAAAGTGGGGAGGTTTTTCTGCTTGATTTCTTTTTTTTTTTTTGGTGTGTTTTGTTCAGCTCTCAGATCCTTGACTGAAAAGGCTTATAGAAATTCCAAATAATTTGTTTCTTAAATGGGGAAAACCATTAGACAGGGATTCTCTTCAAACAGTGACAGAAGAGAACAGAGGCTTAGTATTAAATCTCTGATTCTGTCACACCTGTGCAGTAATGATGTGTGTCCAACACAAAACAATCGGAATTTGTTCGTGTCCACAGACAAGATCTTCTGAGGCCTCTTTGGCATTCAGGGGAATGAGCTTTGTTTCTGTGGATCTGTTGGAGCATGTTCAGAGGAGGGCCACAAGGATGATCCAGGGGCTGGAGCACCTCTGCTATGAGGACAGGCTGCGGGAGCTGAAACTGTTCAGTCTGGAAAAGAGAAGACTTCAGGGGGACCTAATAGCTGCCTTCCAATACCTGAAGGGAACCTACAGGAAGGCTGTTTACAAGAGTGTCCACTGATAGGACAAGGGGAAATGGGTTTAAGTTGAAGGAGAATAGATTTAGATTGGACCTTAGGAAGAAATTCTTCAGTACGAGGGTGGCAAGACTTTGGAATAAATTGCCCAGAGAGGTTGTGGCTGCCCCCTCCCTGGAGGTGTTCAAGGCCAAGTTGGACGGAGCCTTGAGTAGCCTGATCTAGTTGAGAGGCGTCCCTGCCCATGACAGGGAGGTTGGACTAGATGATCTCTAAGGTCCCTTCCAGCCTAGGCCATTCTATGATTCTATCATTCAGCAAATTGCTGCCCTGCCGGCAGGCCTCACCACTGGACACCTCAGAAGGTGGTTGGAGGCTGCCTGGTACTGCCGTCTCCCCCAGCAGCAGCACACACCACTGCTGGCCTCATCTAGAGCTAGAACTGCCCATCGTGGTGCTGGTGGTGGTGGTGGCCTGCCTCAACGTCCACTAATCTGTGGGATTATGGGGCCTGAAGGCAGTGACTACCTCAGCAGAAGTATGTTGCGTGATAAGCACCTGTGGAGAGCCGGGAGCTGCTGCAGGAGCAGCTTTACCCTTTCAGTGGTTTGCCTTCCAACAGTGGTGCATGTAGCAAAAGCTGGGAATTTCTCATCTTTGTGGTAGATCCCCCCCAAAGCTGCTTGCAGAGCTCCAATATCTTTGTCTAGGTTTGTGCTAATAAAAATGCGCACGAGGTTTGTGTCCTAGTGCTATGAAATGTTGAGCTCTGACTCAGGGTAGTGGTAGTGGTCTTGGGGAAATTAATGCAGAATGACTTCAGCTATAGGAAAGTAAAAAGGTCTTAGTGTGAGTGCTATGTAATTATCTGAAGTGGATTGAGAAAAAAATGAGATTAATGTTACCTTCAAATTTTACAGTGATTTTCACAAATGCTGTTATTTTTTCTTCAAGTGATGTGAATATCAAAAGGCCGATTCTCTCCAGTGGACCCGATTCAGTGATTGTAAAGCCCAAAGCATTTACAGGTAAAGTGAACTCTATAGAATTCTTGTTTGTAATTCATAATTGCATTTATAAAAAGAACAACAGGCATGAGGTACTAATTGATTTGTTTATTTTCATAGCATGGAATAGAACTTTTAAATTAGTATTGAGAAGGTGAAGGCTTCTGGGTGTTAACTGTAATATAAATTCGCTACAAATAACACAGTTATCTAAAATTGCATACATAAGCGGGATTTTTAACAAAAATAATAATAAAAAAGAGATTGTTTTCTTGCCAAAAGTGTCTTATTTTCTAGAATTTACTCAGAGATACAGGTCTTTTACAGTAACTGCTCATCAAATTTTCAAGTCAATCTAGGAACGCCAACTGTGTGTCGTTTCTAATTTCTTTCTTAATAATTTTGTCTAACGGATTTTGACAATTTGCGCTTAAGTATTACTATCATTTGTTTTACCACAGGTTGTTGGAACCTGTAGCCGTGGACCAGAACGTAATTGTTCTGTACCCTGTCTGGTAACAGAGCAAACAGATTGTACTAAGTAAAACTTAGAGGTTTTGTCTCATTCATATCCAGGTGCATGCTTTTTATGCCTCTTAGAAGCCTACATAAAATACAATATGCAGAGAATTACATCTTAACTGAAAGATTTTTAGATTTTTTTTTTTTAATAGGATTCTAGGACATTTTAAAGAACTGAGCAGTAAGTCAACATAAAACAGCCTACAGCATGTCTTGTCTTTTGGCTTGCTGTTCACTAAAAAAATAGTGCTGCTGTTAGACCAGCAGCACTTTCCCCCCTTTCTTTCTCCAGATCCTTTAGATGACATGGTTTTTGTTGCATTTTTTTATCTTGTATATTTCCTTGTGGAAACTACTGCAAATGGGAAATTTGATTAGATCATCCTTCCTTCAGAAGTTACAAATGATTAAAGCCTGACTGTCTTTCCTGAGAACTGATGCTGGGTTACAAAAGGTTGGTAGACGGGAACACAGTATTCCTCAGAGAAATTTCGTCTAAGAAGAAACAGTCTCTGAATAAATAAACTTAATACATTGGTAGAATGATTGTGGATGTTAGAACTGATGGCAAACTAAATTCGTTGCTCTTATGTCGTTATGTTTGCACATACCCTTCTGTTTGGGGGTAAATGTAGATCAAGTTGACTTTTAAAACTTCTGTTTTTCTGAAATAGAAGCTTTTATTTCTGTTCTTCATTTGTAACTATTAAGAGTGGAGCTTTTACTCTCTTCTATAAAACCCAAACTTAATGGCTTTCTGAATTCTGGAGCAAAACTGGCATGATGCTATACACAGATTTGAAATGCTGGTCTTAAGTTTGTTGTAAGGCACCAAAAACTTGTTCTAGTACCATTTATAT